CGTTTATGGTGTTCTGAACTTGTAAATTACATTTTCTTCCTTAACAAATGATAAATGAGTAGTTTTTACCACAAGTAACATTGATAGATAATTCTTTGTCACTTTTTAGCTGATATAGATATAAAGCTTTATTGTTAATAGAAGTAAATATTAATAGATTAATGTTAACTCAGAAAGATCAATTTACATATATATTGATTTACTAATTATATACTGATTAGCATCTAGCGAGTGTTAGGAACGTTGTGATGGTTATGGTTTAATCACCTCTGACCCTAGATCAATATGATCAATAGAAAGTCTCATTTCACCTTTAGGCAAAGATATATATATATCAAATTTATTTTAGAGTAATAATACAACAAATAACAAATGAGTTTGTTTTTTATATGAAAACACAAAAGTGTAATCCGAAATGACTCAAGACATCAAAAAAGTAAATGGAAACTCCACTTAACAATTTTAAATCTATCTACTTTTATATAACGGTGTGTTATCTTTGATATCCAGTTGGTAATAAAAAATATAATCTCACAATTACTTTTGATATTGTTCCAGTCTTGTAGTCTCTGTTTTAGTTTACTGAAGCACATGTGAACAAAGTATACGAAAGGCCTGAGATTGTCTTGGCTAATGTACCGGAAAATGGATTTTACTTCGTGTTTTCACGATAATATTACCCAAATTATGGGCTCTGCAGAAATCTATAACGCGTGTATTTTGTCGTAGCTCCAAACACGTCTTTTATGAGATAAAAAGAAATAGGCTTCTTACGTGAGTGTAAGTAAGTAAGTTTTTGATTTTTTTATGTAAAATTTAATTAAATGTACTGTAAGCTACATATTTTTTCGTATATAGGAGCAGATTTAGTACAGATATAAACTATTTTTTTTGATGTCGTTTCTAGTTCTATGATATATTTCTGACTTCATTAGTTTACTTAAAGTCCTAGACATGTGCCCAATTTTTGCGGACGCTGATGTACTCTATAAAGAATTCTTCAAAACCAAAATTTACAGAGATTAATTAAACAACATAAAATATATTATACATTTTCATACTCACATGAAATGCGTCAACATATGTTGGAAATTATTTAGGAGTTGGATTATACTTCATCAAAATGATTCGAAGTCTATAGGTGAAGATAATCATTTACTACCAGATGTGCCGTTTGTTGTTTGCCATCTTACTGTGATGAAAACATAAATGTTATATCAGATGTCATTAACAAGGAATATTTTTGTATTTTTCTCTCTTCTTTGTTAATAAAAATCATATATAAAAAATGATTGAACCTTTTTTCAAACATCATTTTATACTCTCGCTCAAAATATAATATGTTTACAAAAAAAGATAAATTAAAATGATAAAAGCTGCGTGAATTTTGTTAACCTTTATACGTACACTAATAAACTGATATGAAATTTTTGAAAAATATGTTATATTTTTAGTCTTCTCTCTACATTATTTTCTATTCTTTTCTACTCTGTATTCTGCTGATATTATATTTTCAAGTTATATTTTAATGTATATTTAATTAAATTTAAATAACCCCTTAACTTTAAATACAATAAAGTTAAATATAAGTTTTCCAAAAAGAAATCTCTAACACTATTCATAAATAGCACGCCTTCTTGTTTCTCATTCATGAGCATCAGAATGTATGAAAGCAAACCTAACAAAATTGTAAGCTACACCCATTCAGAAATGGTTTAACTTCTGTATGGATATTTAAATTAGGATGCAAAGAAAAATTCATGCTGTTATACAAATATAATATCAACATTTTGAATAGTGACCGGTATAGTGAAAAGCTACATCGCGTCTAGTAGAATAATGAATTGCATCCACGAATTTTGTAACATGGCGGTGCTATTTTCATTTTAGTTATCCTAATGATATTGCCTTATTCAAACGTGGACGTGAACAAATATTGAATTTAATTAAAATTTCGTCATAATTATAAATTGTATATATTTTACACATATTTAATACGAGTTCTCTTGAGCAAAATAGAGCCAGATTTCAGACCCACATTGTATACGATAACGCTGTTACGTAAATTATTTTTTGAAAATATTTTTTATTTTTCAGATTTTAATTATTGTACATACTTATGAGCCACGTTATTAATGGATAAAGTAAAGTATTAGGTGTAATAAGGTTAGTTGTAGGGTAGATGAAGGGTAAATGAACAAAAAAGGTGTATAATTTTAAATGATGGCCAGTATTATGATTGAAACTATAAAATAGAACCCTTTAAAAGCTTTTCTTAACAGCAGTGTATAAGACAAAATTAAATATTTATTTATGATTAATTCAGATTTTATCAAACTATTCTGATAAATAAAGTAACTTGTATTTTAATAAGCTAAATAATACATCGTCGTCTTCGTCGTCATCAGCCTATCAGCGCCCACTGCTGAGCAAAGGCCTCTTTCTCACATGGAGAAGGTTTGAGCATTAATCACCACGCTTGCTCAAGACGGGTTGGTGCTATCAAATTTACAATTGTGAAATAATAAGTCCATGTTTCCTCACGATGATTTTCCTTCTCCGTCTGTCGGTGGTGTCTAAATACTATGAGAAAGTACATATGACGCGGAAAAATCACATTAGTACTTGCCAGGATCGAACTCTAGCCCTCGTGCACAAGAGGTGTGAACTTTAACCACCACTGACTTACATAATACATATAAATATATAATTACTACCTATTATAAGTTATAAGAGTATAGTTTTTGAAAATCATAAATAGACAATTTCATCTCACACTTACCTTATATGTCTCAATGATGTGTGTAGTATATACATCCGAACGAAAAATGTGCTGGTTTTGATAATCTCATTCAAAACCTTTAAGTAGTTAATATATTGCTACATAAAAACCACAAGTTTACATGTTTATAGTAAAGGCTTTACTAGATTATTTATTATTTTCAAAAAATTAGAGCAACAAGTTTTGTTTTCAAAAGAATTTATAAAAAAATATATGATTTAAAAAGCAATGAATAACGAAGCTTTATACTTTATTTGTTTTATCCGACAATATGTACACATATTCCTGATTTTATTTTACTGTCTGTTATTCCATGAATATAGAGGATTATTAAGAGAATACAAAAAATATATAACAGTTTAAACATCAAAGTTGTAATAAAAATTATTGCAAATGTTTTAAATAAATTTCCTAGAAAAGGTAATTTAATGGAATGAATAGTTCAACTTAAACACTTTATTTTTTTTCTCCTAAAACAATTTGTCCTAACTCATTTCCTCCAATATAGGTAAATACTTTGTTACATGGAATTATAATAATAATAAAAAATATTTCCAGTGTAACTAATATAATTACTCACACATATAAAGTCCATTGGTATTTGAGACCGAATTTTGTTACAAACTGAGTAAGTTTGACTTGGATAGTATGGTATTCTTACCTATCAAACGAATGCAGCTTCAAATAAAGTAAAATTATGACCTTGGTTATATCACAAATAAGTTGAAAAGCGCTTGGTTCAATTTCTACCGCTTTTATTTTATTTATTTGAAACTATTATGAGATCATTCAATATTTATCAGAAGTTAATAGCAATATGAAAAACATACTTAACACATTTTCCTAGTCTTGGAAATGAATCTCCCGCGTGCGTTTAAAATTTAAATAGAAAATATATTTCAGAGTATCCTGTTCTTATTTTATTAAAGTTATATAACGTATATTGTTGGTAGACAAAACGCTTCAAATAATAAAATAATATGTAACCTAGCTTTAGGGATTGTACACATGCTGTCACTGAGCATCTGAATATAAATTGCCCACTCAGATATTTCTGTCGGGTGGCCATTGAATTTGAATGCCTTATTTCATGACCGCATAGCTATATTTTCTGGGTAACAACCGTTTCCCAGAGGTATAAACCTCATTATAGATAACTTTGCGTTCGCAGATCAAGTTGGGATCGTTGCTCAGGCTGAATTTAATCTAAATTTATAGAGTTACATTTATATATTGTTTCTTGTGTGCAAATAAATTTCAGTAGAACTAGAAAAAATCTTAAAAAGAACATCTTTTGTGTTCATGGTTATTTAAAATTTAATGCTTACTTCAGCGGACTAAGCATTCTAAAGCGTCAAGAGATAGATCTAAAAGGTCTATCTTTGAATCTAAAGAGACGGCCAATTAATGATTTGCACCATTATCTTCAAACATACGCTTTATCTAGTTTAAATAAAACTAATATTTTCGGATTTACTTCAAGATTTGTTATTTTTTTAACTACCGCCATCGATTTAAGAAAATTAAGAAATCGATGGCGGTAGGTAATAAAATAACCGACTGACAGACACTCACATCTGGTCTGCCCGTGATCACTGTTGCTGTAAAGTAGTCGAAACGTCGGGAGAATGTAGTTTATAGTCAAAAACAACAAATCGCGTAGTAAATCCGAAAATATTAGTTTCATTTAAATGAGTACTCGCGAAAATCTTAGATCTTATTACTTTATCTAGTTTTTAAATTAATATGTATATGTGAAATAAAATACATAAACGTATATTTAAAGGCCTTCAGTTGCATATAGAGGAAAAGTAAACAGATGAATGTGATATGTCGTTTTTAATATCAACAGTGGTGTGAGTTCTGATAAATTGTATACTGTTATTGGAAAGGAATTAATTATAATATGATTGTTATTAAAAAGCAATTATTATGATATGCGGTTAATTAGTTTGAAAACAAAATTTCGTTATTGTAAATAGCTATAAAGTTTCAATTAATTCAAACATACGCCCGTCACTTATATTTATTGATATACGAATTCAGAAATAATACAAGAGCAGTGTTGAATAACTTTAAATATAATTTTGTACTTCCCAAATTCCTGACGAGTAATATGTATGGTACATAAAGTCCAGTAGAGTCCGTTACATTCCCAGCTGACTTATATTGTAGAATCTACTGTACAACAATGAATTCTTCTTGATATAAATCTACAATGTTAATGTACTGTAAATGTTACTATGGTAAATATATTTTAGACTGAAAATTTCAATAGTATACTATCTAAATGTACCTGTTTACTATAATATTATGTATAGATTATTCTACTAATATTTCTTTACAGGTGTCACGAGCTTACGCGACGTTAAGCTTCTTGTCAAACCTTCGATCGTCGTGAAGGGTGGAACGGCAGCACTGATTTGTTCAAGGGACATGCAGGGCGCTCCTTTGTACTCTGTCAAGTGGTATCGGGGGATCCATGAATTTTTTCGGTACACACCACTTGAGGAACCTGATACTAGAGTGTTCGGTCTGCCAGGCATTTATGTGGACGTAAGGGTTTTATAATTGGATTGTGGTATTAAAATATTACAAAATAGAAATTCTATAACATTAGAATTTATTCAAAATATACTCTTATGTATGTATTTTCTTTTTATATTATCTACACAGCTTACCACCATATCATAAATACATCTATTCAAACTCAAAAACTATTATATGCTTAATATAATATAAATGATAAACATGTGAAGATTGTTTTCATTATCTATAAAATATAAATCAGATTTTAATGAGTGGTTTACTTCCTCTATAGTTACTATAGCTGAGAAACGGACAAACTTCGCAAAAGATACAATTCTTTTTAAAGATATATGTTTTTTAACAGAAAAAACATACACGCAACAAACAAGTTCCATAATTTACTAAGTATTTGTCAACAAAATTTGTGATTCGACGATCGTATTTATTACTTTGTTGGAACTGTCAAAAAAGTTGACAGAGATTCATTGATAGGCATATGATATATAAATTTCAGATATACGTACTTATTGTGGCAAATATTTATAAACATTTCATAATATGTTAATATATGTCTAATATATATGACGATTAAACTAATTACAATTTCTTTTTAATAACTATTCACCGTACTATATGATATTTGTAAGAAAACCTCTAGTTAAAATGTTTCTATGATATTTTCAGGGTAAATGCAAGCTCTTTGTAACAATAATTTTTGATTTATTTTAAATAAAGAAAATTTTGAATTTTATAATTTTTAAACCAACTTCATTGTAACTAATAAATAGATACTTTAATTAAACTAGATTTAAAATAATAAATCCATTTACATGAAAAACATGTTTGGACAAAAGGCATCTGTTGTAAGAGTATGCAAAATTGACCATAAATTCGCAGAATCAGAAATTTTAACCCTTAGCCACCTACCTACAAATTTTATTACACAGTCACCTACCTCCCGTCTGGGAGACACCTGTACTCTAAATCAAAGATTTTTGGAAATTAGGAGTTCAGTTAGAATGAAATATTGTTTTTACGTATTTGAATGTTTTATTTAAAGAAAATAAACATAAAGTGATCAACTATACCTACTATAAACTCAACTAAAATGAACAACACTTATACATACTTTGGCATTTTTAAGCCTTACTTACGTTAACTAAACATACGTTTTTAGAAATATAAAAATAAATGGAAATAGGAACTTCAAAATAAACTTTTCTTGTCTTTTAACACTTATTTAATATAGACATGAAACATTTAGAGAGAAAAAATTAAAAAATAGACAAAATTGCAGACTCTGAACCTACAGCTTTTCACGACAGTCAATGCACAGCTTGTTCGAGCACTCGAAGCAGATTGGTCTCTTACATTCGAAACACATGAACTGGGTCCTGCGTTTCTTTTTAGGATCACAAGTTGAGCATGTTTTTCGTATTGTGACTACTTCTTCGCCACGTTTGGTACTAGAAAGCACTGCTGGTTGACTGGTTACCTCGTCATAGTGAAGGATACTGGAGATTCACATTTCGCTCGCGGTGCTCCATATGAGATGTTGTAAGCTGTTTAGCTAGTCTACAAAATTATGTTTCTTCTACAATATTATGTTCTAGAACGAGAAACCTGGGGAGCTGATGACTAACGGTACCGGTTTTTACCAAAATAATTTGTTTTTCTCGGTCTTGACCGTATTTCAGATAATGGCACTTCATCTTCAGATGAACTCTGTGATTCGTCAAGTATATTGAAGGATGAAAGAGGTACCATAGCTGCTTGTAAAGTAGTTTCTTCCTCGGCTTCAATTTCAGAACACGATCCACTGCATTCTTCCAGTACGTGTTGTACTCCAATTTCAGTGTCGTCATCGCTAAATTCATCATTCAGTATATTTTCTTCATCCGATATGTTATCTTCTAACCAGCGTTCAATAATGGAATCGTTTAAAGCCATTTTCACCTTAAGCCAATAAAAAAAAATTGTCACATAAACACCTACCATCCGTCTCTGAGACACTCGAAGATAGATTTTTACTTACCAGGAAAAAATGGCGCGCATCTCCGACCTCGATAAGTGCTTGTGCAACACTGATCGGTGTGGGGGAAAGGTACAGAAAAGCACAGGTTCGTAAGACGCATACACAGCAAAATATTTACGACTTTAAAATCGCTTCCGTCTGTGAGACGGGAGGTAGGTGGTTAAGGGTTAAAAGAGATTCATTATTGCTTTTACTTAAAATGTAATTTTCTTTATCATTTTTATTATGTTACATAAATTTTATACTATTTATGTTCTTAACTATCTCTCTGAAATTGATGTTGTATATTTTCTTTATAATGTAAGTGCTCTAAAAATTTACCAATTAATTTTATAAAAATGTTATCGTAATGTTTTTGCTGTCTTGAAGAGTTTCACCCTGTTCTTTAAGCAATATATAGTTTTTGCTTATATATGTATGTGTGACTATAACGACTCCTAATTTTACTCTAATAAATAAATAAATACTAGTTAGTTTTATAACAAGTGTAAAACTGATATTTTTTTTTATATATTTGTGTATTCATATTATACACACATAATATATATTTTGAATTGTAGACGAAAAACATTGAGGGAATGAGTTCGTTTTTGTGAGTAATTGGATACTAAACTAGAAGTAGGTACAGTTAATTATATTATTTTTACTAAGAATTTAAGATACGTACCTATAACGTTGATCTTGTGTAAATTTGAATTTTTTAAGTTTTCAAAGCCTAAAACAGACTAAATAAACAATATGTTTTCTATAATATAACATTTGTAATAATTATATTGCCATAAAACTCATTTTTTTATATAAATTGTTCTGAACGTAACATTATAGAAAAAATTCTCAGGAAAATAAAATGAAGTTTAAAAATGAATTCCAGTATAAAATTTTCTCAAACATTTTTCCAGATGAATCGTTCCAATGGCACGCAAGTGTTGCTTCGACGGTTGGAACTTGGCTTGGCTGGAAACTTTACCTGTGAAGTCACTGCTGACTCTCCATCGTTCACAACACAAATTGCAACGAAGTTTATCGATGTTATAGGTAAGTTTAACATAACACAAATAGGATTACACATATAAACTAATTAAAATCATACATGGATATAGTCATTCGTTTTTATAAGTGGAAATATTATTTTACGCAAATATTTTTTTACATCAAACATTGTGTCGCAATAAATAAAAAGTGCAACTAAAAACTCGATATGACATATGCAAAACGAATGCCGAAAAAACTTTTAGAATATAAAATTAATCTATTCTATTCCATCTAAACAAATTTGATTTCATTTTTTTGGGATATTATATTTTTTTGTAGTTATGCATATATTTATAGCGTATAGAATGCCTTTCATATAAAATGTCGCTCATGAAGTGAATTTACGAAGCGGAGTGCTGAAATGAAGTATTGATATAAGAAAATAATTAAGGCAGCGGAATTCGGAGTATTGGAGACAAATTCTAGTTCAAGAGAAACTTTCATCAAATATTCTTTGTTATATACACAGTATTAAATTCTCTAAAGCTTGACTTTTTTAGGACTACAATCTGTGTTTTCATAGAAATTTTCTTTACTAACCAAAGGATGTTTGACTGATTTTCATTTATAATAAAATGCTTGTTAAGAATAGACTAAATAAATGTAATGAAAAGAAATTGTACCATTTCATTTCGGATATAAGTAAAAACGGTCATATACCAACAAGAATTACTTAATAAAGTTCAATGACCGTTATAATGAGGGCTTGTGTTCAGATATAATGTAATTTATTTTGAAGGTTTCATGAGATGGATAACTATATAAATAAATATGCGGAAAATATAGTCTTATTGTATACCATACTTTTTGTCAAATAAACATTTTAGCTGAACATACAGTTCTTTTCCGGATTATTACTCTTTTCATTCTCTCAACATTGTAAAAAAATATTATTGTTTCACACTACTTAAGTTATTTTCTTTGATATTTATAAAGTATAGAAATTTAGGTTCGATAAAAATGGAATAATTGTAGAAAAAAACTCAAATGAATTTTATCTATAAAGGCAGATTGAATAAATCTTCATAACATTCAACCATTGTTCGTATTCTGTTCACTCGGTATTGATATTCGGTTGTTGATAAAAAAAAAAAACTATCATATATATATATTTTTACATTAAAAAAGAATGAATTATTAATATTTGTCAAAATCTTTTTGTGCCTGAGCCTATTCTTCGGGGCCCAACTACTGCTTTTTCAGACTAGAAAATACAAATATATCAAAATTGATTTTATATTTCAAGGCCTAACACAAAATTGCTATTTGAGTACAAACATGCGGTGAAACCACTGTTTGAATTTAATATAAAAGGTTCTCTATTAAAAGGTTTCAATAAAATGAATTAAAGTTAAGTGTAAATATGCGTTGTCTGGCTAATAAAAATAAATACATATACTTATATATTCAGTTTTTAATTATTTTTCTTTTAGATATTGTTTTATTATTTGAAGAACTTATTTATGTTTAGAGCTATGTTACACATTTTTTTTGTTCATTATCAAATTATAATATGGAGTATAGAATGGGGTGCTTACGAAAAGTTATGGATCAGCTTATTTTCATTTGTAATAAAACTTATGGCTGGCATTTGTCTTAAATTAAGGTAATCTTCTATTACCGAAAGCTGGTGACCATCCTAGTAGAAGTTGGATGAATTAAGTAATAATCAATAATTTTTGTGAGTTGAGCGTCGTTCAACAAACTAAAAATCGTACTTGGTCTTAATTAAAGGCAGTTCCGCCCTTCCACAAAAAAATAGCTTTTGGTAGTTTTTTTTACCACTAAATTTGTTGAAGCCAAAACAACGTAGTTTCTCTTTTTTCAAAAAATTATTTTCCATTTTGTGCCACCACGATTTAACGAAGCCTTTAAACATTTAAAGTTTAATTTATAAGTATTAAAGAGTAAACAAAATATATTAATATCAGATGCCGAGTAAAACTGTTGTTTACAATATAGAATAAAGAAAATATAATACCTTTATTTGTATCAGGTTAATTTACTAATAAATATAGGGTTTTTCTATTTTAAGTAATTTTTCATAAGATATTGGTGAAGTTATTTAATGGTTTTCTCACCGTGCTCGTTCTTTTGAACTAAATAAAATTTATGTATTACATATAAATATTAAATTGTTACATATGTCAAAAAAATCCATTATGAAATAGAATATAGATGACTTATAAATTTTTCTTTAGAAACTGTTTATAAGACCCAATCTAGAAGCTTTATTCACATAAGATCGAATATTGCTGTTAACAAAAATATAAATTTGATTCTACTGTGTGAGATACCTACATACAGCAAATGACTCAGTTGTTTGTGTCACAGTGACAATGTCAAGACATTCGCATTTCACCTAAGTTTGCTAAATTGCACTAACGATTCTCATTAAAACGAGAACCTTTGTCCCACTTTTGTAGACACGTGATATAACAAAACATAACGTTTTATTATCTTGGACCTCAAGAAAATTGTAGAAAAATAAATGACATTTTGCTTATAACAATAATTTTGACATTTTTATCGTAAACATCAAAAAATCGTTTTAGCAAAATCGATGTACCTAGTTTGGGAGGTGTTATAATTCATAAAAATAAAAATTGTATGTTTTGAATCAAACACACTGTACCAAGTATTATTATAAGTATGTAATAATTTCTTATAAATTATAGTTTTTAATTTGTTAAGTGATAATATTTTTTTTAGACTTATAATCATTAAAAGTGTGTCGTTTAAACTTTAAACATATGTTTAAGACTTGTTCATTACCTGATATCATTTTTCTTCACAAAGTAGTTTATAGAATAGAATAATTATTTAATTATTATAAATTTGATGTTACAAAAAAATTTAAATAAATAATTATTATTTATACCATATATAAAGTATAAATCTGTTTGATTTAATAAAATATGTACTTCAATGGTATATATCTAAATTATTAAGGTATCAATTTATATAGTTTGACAGTAATATATATATTGAGTTTATGTTTGTATATTGCTCGCATCCAACGATTTAGTATCATTGGATGCAGTATTGACCTATCATAAATCGTCACTACCTCTGTAGATTCAAGTTTGGGCATTGTGTTCTGAGTTATAAGCTTTCAAGAGGCTATCGTTTGTTTAACAATTTATCTATGAGTTATGCTCAATATTGCTGATCAAATCTCAATACAATTTATTAATTAATAGGTATTTAAAAGCAATTTCCCTCTTTGATAACCAATTACACAACGTCACTGTTAAGAATTTTATAGTTGAGCTATTTATATTTTTCACTTTTTTGATATGTTTTAAAATTAACAAGTAATGTACATACATTCGTGAAATATAACCGGGATAAACGCTAGGATGATGATTATGATGATGATGATGATTCGTGATATATTATCCTTATTTCTTTCGTTCTTGTTTGGGGTTTCTTTTATAAAGGTGAATAAGTATAAAAGACGTATGCATTTAGAAACTATAAGACAAGAAGCTAGTTAGTGCTAATAGGGCAATATTTCGTAGTTGAAATTGTACAGCTTTAACAATTGTAACTTGCTCTTTGCTTAGCAATAAGTCTTGTTGATTGCGCTAGTTTATTTGTGCGCATTTCGGTCCATTGTTCCTGCTACTGATTTATAATCATTATTTAAAATATTTCTTGATTCTATTCAACTTGCCATTAACAACCCAGTTTAGAAACATCAATACTTGATTATATTATAAGTAATTTCAACAAATAATCCAAATTGTTACAATATACATATCATTTTCTTTAGAAAAATGTTTACATTTAGAACACACTAGAAATTTTAGTTTCTCTACTTTAACTGAAAATATTACAAATTTAACATTTAACCAATTATCCGAATAATTTACTCAAATTAAACTGACTCGCTTATTTTTTGGCTTAGTTATTAAAGTAATTTGTACAGTTAGTTAGCAGTTTAAATAGGTTTCAGATATATATAAATTGTCAAGAAACTTAATTCAACAGTCTCCTAGATCCGAATGTTATTACTTAATGTTTTAAAATTTTACGTACTAATAAGTTAAAAAAAAATGGAAGGCTTTATGTAATTTCTTTTATGTTTCTGTTTTCAGCGTTACCAACATCGATGCCTGTTCTAGTGACGGACAAGGATCGCTATCAGCCTGGAGAGACACTGCTGGCTAACTGCACTTCAGCTCCCGCAAGACCAGCTGCAAACCTCACCATATTCGTTAATGAGGCGCCAGTAAGTTGTCAATTATTATCTTTTAATTGAGGTTAAAATTAGTGACATTATTTAAATATAACGTCTATTAGTAAAAACTGAATAGGTAGGTCTAAACGAATCCCTATCGAGGACTATCAAATAGTATGCCCACTTTCCATATATTGTTGAGTTTTTGCTATTTATTATGCCAAGGACATATTTTTTTAGTTGACTTTTCTCTTTTCTTTTTATCATTTTAGTTCTTAAATTAATCCGGTCTATGAGCTTGTATGTAGTTACTGAAACTTCTTAAATTTACTTCTTCCTTCCTCACAAGAATAAGTTGTATTGTTTACTATTTGTATTCTGCTTTCATTCTTTTATTGAGGCAGTTCTGAAGCGAAATATGAGTGCTCTTTCGTATTAAGCTTCGAGAGCAATTATACAATTCAGTCCTTAAAACTTTGTCCTAGTTTTCTACTTTAGATACTATTCGGTTATTTATATATTTCAGTAGTTCATACTCAAGTATTTCTATAGAAAAGTGGAGCAAAATTTTGAATAAAATCTTTGAATGCTGACAACGAGTGTGCTTCCTCGTATAAAATTGATTATTGTATAGAATAAAAAAAAAACAATTTCTATAAAGTTTTATATTTAACAATTTCGTCATTAGTTTAAAGTAAAAATAAAGATTTTTTTTAGGTTTAGGCTCACTAGTAAACCATTTCCTTTTCATTTTTTGTCCATAAATTGTTATGTTATTTTTATGTTTATTTACATATGGTAAACTTTTTTATTAACAAAAGTTTCCAAGCAAGTCATGTTTTAATTATACCACTTAGTGTCTATTTCTGTTCGTAACTTCATTCATTAAGACACTAGCCAATATTTATGTTTTTAATTTAAAATCTTTCATTTAGGAATCTCGTTACTGTTTCGGTGAGGTTTCATTTAAGGTTTTACATAATATTCTACTTACTTTGGACGGGTTATTATTATTTTTAACTTTAATTACACAAATAACAGAATATTACACTTTACTCTCTCTCTCTCTCTCTTCTCTTTCTAATTCTATGTCTCCCGGATGGGGCAGAGGGCGTCCACAGTACGCCGCCATCCCGGTCTTGAGCTTTGCCTTTCATGTCGCTCCAAGTCTTCCCGATGTTTTTGGCTTCGGCAGTGATCGTCCGCCGCCAGGTCTACTTAGGGCGGCCACGTTTTTGCTTTCCTTGGGGAGTCCAGTCTAGGGTTTGCCTTGGTATGTGTTACGGGTCCCTTCGGAGCGTGTGGCCTATCCACTTCCACTTGCGACGTTTGATTTGCAGGTCAATTGGTATCTCATCGCAGCGTTCCCACAGACTCACATTGGAGACTCTCGGGCACGTAAATACATGGAATACGGCGAAGACACCGAATGACGAAGACCTGAAGCTGATGCGAGATGTCCTTAGTGACCTTCCACGTCTCGCATCCATGTAGCAGCACGGTTTTGACACTGGACCGGAATATTTTGAGTTTATCTCTCCTGCTCAATTTCTCTTGCTTGTTGCTCTTCATTTGGCGATTTTTGACGCGACGTCTTCTTCGGTCCCTCCACTCTCCGAGATTACGCTTCCGAGGTAGGTGAAATCGTGGAACTTTCCACCGCCTCTGTGCCAATTAGCAACGGCAAGGAGGTCCTTGCTCCACACCTCATCTTCTTGGTCTTCCGTGGGTTTATACGTAGCCCCATGTCTATTGCCTCTCTTCTCCAGTTTGGCTTGCATGTCGGCTCGTGTATGGCTCAGCAGGCATAGGTCATTGGCATAGTCCAGATCTTCTAAAGTGTTGAACAGTCAACACTCTATGCCGCGGCGCTTGTTTCTCGTGACTTTTTGCATTATGCATTATGCACTTATACACTTTACTACTAGTTACAAAATAACAGACAGAAATACCTACAAATAAGACATAAGAGATTATAGAATATAGATAATCACAGATTTTTACTAAAAAAAAATAGGAACATAATAATATGTTGTCAACATTCCTAATTTTTTATTGGTTATCTAAAATTCCAACCTTTTCTTTAATTTTTTTAATATATTTTCAATTACTTTAATATCCATTTACAAATTTATTTGCGAGCAATGCAATATAAGGTACTTATTTCATGCATTATAATAATTTTATTTCATAATAATTTTCAGGTGAGATCAACGGAAACTAGTTTTCATACTACGGAAAACAATCTTCTGATAACAAACGTGAATGTGGAGTTGAAGATTAGACCAGAACTGTTTCCTGGAGGAAGATTAAGAGTTTCTTGCTACGCTACCTTATACGATATTTATAATGGATCAGCTAAACTTGACTTCTTAACGCCAGAAACAGACCCAAGACCTGAAAGAAGTGAGTTTATTATATATTATTAATCGTGTAATACATATACTTAAATTTAATAATAGTTACTTGTAATCAGTTAAGTCGTGGTGGCCCGGTGGTTCAAGATCTTTTCTCGTGATTGAGGGCGTAGGTTTGAAACCTTTCAAGTATCAATGTATTTTTTTAAGAGTTATTTGTATGTATATATGTCTACTATGTCACGGATGTCCATGGGTGAAGGTACTACCTCCATCAAGTATGCTGTCTATTCGGTGCCATAATTACCATAAAAAATATATATTCTTAGAGTATGCAGGCACCATTGGCAGTGACTTATACTTTCAAATTTTAAGTTTGAAATCATCAATTCGTCTTGAGCAATGGTGGTGGTTAATGCTCTAACCTACTCCATGTGAGCCTTTGCTGAACAGTGGGCACCAATAGGCTGATAATAAACATATAATTTGTTTTATACTTCAAGTTAGATAAGATTTTTTGTTTATTTTGTTCTATCATTCTGTATATAATTTTAATATAATGCATTATTTAATAAGCATATAGTATTTAAGTCAAATTATAGCCCATTTTCATTTGTCCTGACGAAATATAATTGTGATTTTCAGTTACATTGGGAAGCGGTGCCGGAACCAGCTTATTCAATTGGTTTCTTCTATTCATCATTCTTCTTCTACCCTTCATGGTAACGGCAGAAGATTATGGTGTATATGAAGATTATTTAGAAAATCTTCTGCCAAGTTACGATGAAGAGACTGAACAAAACGTCATAGATTCCCTTTTTGGAGGTTGAAATGCATTTTATAATTTAGATAGTTATTGCAATAACGAATTTAGTATAAGAGATTTATTGAAATTGTTACTTAATTATATTATATTAATTGTTTTCTTTATTTGACGATATACAATTACAATGTTAATGTGTTTAAAGTTAAAATATACAAAAAAATATATCTAATAAGTTCTCACGTAGCTTATTTTTTAGTTTTTATTATTTAAAATATTCTCATGTCAACAAAAAGATATCAAATCATATAATGTTATTTTTAGTAACGAAACTCAATTTCTCACAGTAATTTTCGTACAAATTAATATTAATAAACAAACATACCTACATTATAAGATATTATTGATGTTTAGAGTACTAATTTTTAGTATCATTAGTATTCTTAAAAATAGTCACATACAATAGTCCCGGTGAAAGTCTGGTCAAAAATGGCTCAGACGTTTTAGAGATTACCTGGAACAAGTAACAGCAAAAAAATTGAAGTAATGTAATGATGTACGCCACATATTTAGGAAAAACACTTTTTTTATATTGCAAAAAGACATTCCAATATTAGTTATTTGTATAGATATAAGGAAATTTTATATGCTCCATATTCTAAACAATTTGGTTAACTGGCAGTTACATAACATTAATATAATAAAACGAATATAATCTTATATATATCAATTGGCGTTTATTTTATAAGTTAGAGAAATCATAAACATGTTGCTTCCGAGTTTTTAATTAATAATAACTGCATATGAATCATTCTTTATGTAAATACAGGGTGTATGAAAAACTGTGTCAACCCTTGAAGGCACGTATACATATAAGTATAAGCTTATTATAAAAAATAGTATAACTTAAAAAAAATCAAGCAGAAGTCAGTTACAGTGCATAGGCTAAGTAAGTTTTAAATCGACATTTTTCGAAAATATGTTCCAAACATCTGACTCATACAAGGTCAAGACACCGTATAGTCGCTACGACGCATGCGTGACCATTGACCGCAGGCGACGGGCCGCCGGCGTTATTATTATTATTCTGTTAGTTGTCGAATAGAGATTTGAAAGTGTAAAAATTAGTTATATCGATAAATATTCTATCGACATTTTCAATATTGGTATAAATAGTTATGCTTTTCACATTAAAATAATTTCATTTAAAATAACTTTTATTAATAATAAATATTATAATTTGAAACTTGTTCAGGTAAATTAACTACATATGTTGTATTATTAGGATAAATCGTTAATCTATTTCTGTTAAAAATGATGTTTTACAATCAAACATAATATTAATGTTTGATATATCAAAATAAGTATCGAAATAATATGAATATTAAATATTTATTTATTGTTATGATTTTTTAAATATCGATATTCTCAATAACGTGAAAGTAACTTCAAGGTCGTCACTAGTAGCGCAGCAGCTGTGATGACGTCATTGCGTATCATCGTGTTATACCAGGGTTTACAAACATTTTGTTACTCTACATATAATAATCATTTAATATTTAATTTTATTATTTTTATTGAAGAGTTTGTAAATGTAAGTTGTTTTATTGTGTTACATTATAGATACTGATAACGTAGTTAAGAGGGTTGACACAGTTTTTCATACAACCTGTATATCTTGACAACAGTCTTTTGCAAAATAATTTTCAATTCTCTTATAGTCACGGATGCACATTAAGTTATCTCTTACTAACTTTTGACTTTGATCTCACCAAATCGGACTTTGGAATCTAGTTTAAAGAGATATTAATTTGTAAAGATATAGTAAATTTTGGACAGCGCCATCTATAGTCTGTCGCGTGATTTCAAAACTCAACTGTTATTGCTTAATAGAAAAACATTCACGGATCTAAACAATCGTTCACATCAAAAGTATGTAAATTATAAACCAGATTTCATTCGCTTCTAATCGGCATTGATAAATAATAATTGATATTTTAAAGTAAATGAAAAATTAAATAGGTGACGACAGCTTTTCTCATGCAAAATAAGATGTAATAAAAAAAAACTCTTGTATGATTTGATTCAAGTATAATTGTACTGTTCATAGAAATAATTCAGTAAGATTAATCGACTATGTCCTAATTAAGAAATAGTAAGCAATGTATTTTCTGTAAATAGCTACCCCTTGGTATCAGATACTCAAATAAAATAAACTAAATAAATTAAGAAAACCATGCCTCGATTCTCATATATCGTTTTTACTGTTTTAAATAAAAAAAATGTTTTATTATCATTATAATATCTCAAATATATTTAATATTATTTTACCTTTACTTTTATAATTAATTGAAATGTTTTGTACTTTCTTATATTTTATTGTTATATGTACATATTAACATTTTAGTTGTATGACATTCATAGTTTAATACTCTAAATTGAAACTTATTTTCAATTTGTAACTTTTTTTTTATAATGATTAAGTGTTTTTTGGATACTATATATTACATTATGGAATCATCAGTTTTTAGAAATAAAATGTATACTAAAGCTATATTTAACAAAAGACTCCCATATTTTAAATGCTATGTTCAATTTTAAGGATTTTGTTAAAATTGTTCCACTAATAAGTTTCTGTGTATCAATTGAAACAAAATATTTTTGCATCGTTATTTGCTAAAGATGTTTGTTTTGTTATCCAAAAAACTGTGATTGATTTTGTATTAGAAATAAGGTTAGCTTGTTTTTTAAGATTTGTATGTTAAAAACTTTTATCGCTTCTCAATATACAAAGGCTGTTATAAAACTGTTTTCTACGAATTATTATTTTCTTAGTGATATTAATTTAATACTTCTAATCATTTCCAAATCGTTTCGTTAAAAAATAATGGAAATACTTCTAAACGATTCAAAAAATGCTTATAATGAACTAAGTGACTCAATTTACTTAGTTGCACCTTCTTCTTTTGTGACCTAAAAATTGTTATGGTCTTAAATTTTTGATTATGTATATTTTTTTGGAATTCTACGTTGCTTATGTAGCTTGTAAACAAAAATTAAGTATTCAAAATTCTATGTAAAAGGCACTTCGATGTTTTGTAATTCTTATGCATAAATACGTGATGATTTTAAAAACTATGTTTATATTTTTGATATGTAAATCAAAACTCTCTTCTCCACTTGCATTTACATGAGATTATAAGTCATTGCGCAGAAGTGTAAATAATTAATATAAATACACTGAATTTTGAGACACCAATGATAATTGTTTTATTGCCTGTATACATTAATTCTATTATGATGATAAAATTATGATAAAATCGCTGTATATGAAATATTTTATGGCAAATCCCAAGATCAAATCACCTTTCATGCTATACAATATACTTTTGACTATGTTCATGCCTGAATTTTTAATATGATATTTTATAATATTGCAATTTGTTGATTTTGTATTTTTGTTAGAAGTATATTATAATTATATATTAATATTTCATAAAAGGATATTTATATATAAGAAAAATTCTTTACCATCTAACGCTGGTTGGGTTAGTTAGCCCTTAGCATACTTCTGTGTACTACATACAATTTTGTGTCCAAAACATAAAAATTTTCAAACGTTATTAAGTTTTTGTAACCAATGAAAAAATTATATTTATTATGGTATGATTAAAATATGCCGAACAATATTTCTAAACAGACTTTATTTCTTTATATTTGGTTTCAAAATCTTAAACAATTATTAATAAAATCAAACCATGAAATGTTTGCAACTATGATAGACCTATTAAGGATTCTATGCACTAAGTAGGAGTTGAAATCGTCTTTGGTACATTAAGATGACTCACACATTAATACATACTATATGAATATCAATAATCACAAACGTGATTAGTCTTTATAATTAGTGTGTTCCTTTACAAATATTAAGTAAAATTTTGTATTCATTAAAAAACCTAAAGAACACAATATCAAAAATTAACTCCACCTGTGAGTTGATCGATAATGATCAAAATTATTTAGGATAGATTTAGAAGTTTCTTTTTTTGTCTATAGTAGAAGAAAGTGGAATGGGAACAATAATAAAAAATATATATTATATGTTTACAAATAGCTTTCTTAGTTCAGCTTCAATAAGAGAATAAATTTGATATACATACTCACAAAAAAATTTAACCTTAAAAGATATTTACATTTGCTTAAAAGAGATTTTTCATGGTTTGGTATCATTACTTTATCTGTGATATTTTATTGAAAATACTGTACAATACTCTCAAAGTACTTGGTCACACGTTTGAAATGCTTATTTCATTATGTAAGATTGTTTTGCTATGACTGTTAATATTTTCAATAACATGGCCATCTTAGGTATACGACAATTAATCTGCTTCTACTCTTAACATTTCATAACGTTATTAACTATGATATCCGTTATGGTGGAGTACTGGTGGCAAATCTGCTATAGTTTTTTTTGATTACAATTAATCTTAATGATAACTATAATAGTTATTCAATATTAAAAAAAATATATTTCTATAAGATGTTAAGGATAAAAATACAATTTTTAATGATTAACTTATGTAAAAGTTTCTAGTTGGCAGAGCCTAACTGTGGTCAAGTTACTGCAGCTTGAACATGGGCTAGTTCGACCGGGGATATACCACCCTCTCATAGAAGATCGGCGACAAGTAGCCTTTAATGGCCGCGTTTCGTCCGATGAGTGAGAAAGCCGTTGGAAATTTCCCTTTTCCCATCCTTGTTACTTATACTTGTTTTTTTCCCCCTTTTCCCTAATCAAGGGTGACACGTCCGCAACATCTCTTGTGTTGCGAATGTTAATTGGCTATGGTGCTACCTCCATAAAAAGTCGGTCTGTTTTTGAAACAACACACTTACAATAATTTAAGAAAAGAAAACTATATTTTGTTATGACCTACAAATCAGTTTATTTTTATATAATGTCTGTTGTTATGTCCAGTGATTTTTATTTCAAAGCCAGACACATAAAATAATTCAGTATAAAATAAACAAGACAAATTAAAAAGATAAAACAAACTTTAAATGCAA